TTAACTTCTGGGAATTTCTGATGAATGAAGAATTCCTGCATTTTTGGTCTGCACGGACAAGCTGAGTGATGAAAAGGCTCCTTTTTCCTCCGGTCCCCTATTTCTTCCCTCCTGGGTGGGAGTGAGTCTACCTACAAGCTCTGGGGGTAGGGCGGGGAGTCGTCAGCAAGCACTCCAGGCCCCTGGGAGCCCCCCACGCACAGCATGACTCAGTGGCATCCTTTAAGAGGATCACGTGATTGATGATGTGAACAATTAGACTGTGGACTTACATCCCTGTTGATTCTGATGGCAAGGAAGGAAACCAGAAATCTGGTTTTGAATTGTATCATCAATGACGAGAAATTGGTTTTGTCTGGGGGAGAGGCGTGACCCCACAGAAGCCAACACTGAATATAGACCCGAACCAATGCGTCCCCTCTGCACCCCAGCCTGCTGGTTCTTTTCCTTCTCGGAAGCTTGCTGTGTGCAGGCCTGTGTCGGGGCCTCGGGGGTATGGGCTGGCTCTGCTCCCCCCACCCCCAGCCCCCTGCGGCCCTGGAGAACCCTGGAGTCTGCCTGGGACTGTCACATGCCTCTTCAGGCCCTGAACACAAGGCCAGGCTCAGAGCATGCCCCTCTGCAGCCAGACCCCCAGCTCGGCTGAGCGTGAGGACACTTCACACTGAAGAGCCTTCTCTCTGATTGAACTTGAGACCAAACCTTCCTGTTCTGGAAAATGTTCCAGGGTGCACCTCTCAATTCCCTCCATCCTCTGCCCCCGGGCCCCCTTGGCCAAAGAAAAGAGAATTTCTGCCTCCAAACAAACTTTAGGTTTGGAAAAGTCCTCCGAAAGGTGGCAGCTTTGGTGCCACGTCTCTTTGGTGTGTGCATGAAGCCCTCACAGCCCCCTAGGTCCCACCCAAAGAGGGGAGGGCAGGCTCCTGGTGGAGGCTGTGGGGGCCTCCCTGCTCTCCTCCAGGCTCTGTGCATTTTTACCACTCTGCTGGGCTGGGCAAAGAGTTTGGCACTGGAATTCTGAGTAGACCCGGGTTTGAATCCCAGCTCTGCTACTCGTTAACCCTGCCCCTCTCTTGGGGTCCCCTAGCCTCAGTGTGCTCATCTCTGAAATGGACCTTGCAGTCCCCACCTAGCCCAGGCTATGAGGAGACTCTGATGAGACAGAACTAAATTAGAGTCTAAATCCAATGGAGAAGTGCGGGAGAGGCAGAAAGGGTGGCTTTTCGGTCAGGGAGGCTCCTGCCTAGCTGTCTCTGGGATGTTCCGGTTCTGGGACTCTGACTAGGCCCACCCGAGTCTCTGGGCACTGGTCCCTGCCTTGGCTAGTCCCTTTAGAAGGAAGAGCAGGCATATCCGGGGAAGCCCATTGTCCTCTCTTGGAGGGAGGAAGGAGAGCGTTGGGTGTGAGGACAGTGGACAAAGGCACCTATTGTCTGTAGGATGCCCAGTAGGATTGGATCAGTGGGGGCTCAGAGCCCCCGCAAAAGCTAGTCTACGCAGAAGCAAAGCCTCAAGGCATGGAGACCCCACCAAGGCTATGGGGTGATGTGCAGAGCAGAACGCAAAGGTGGGGTGAAGCCCCGTCTCCTGCCACCCCTCCCCCTACTGCTGGTGCCCAGGACTAGGGAGTCTCCGAGGCCCCTCTAGCTCCACCTTGCTGAGCTGCTCTGATCAGTAATTCTGCCTTTAATCAGGGGTGAAGTGGTGTGGGGCTGGCTGAAGGAGGAGTTAACGTTTTGAAAAGGAGGAGGGGGAGCAGACAAGGGGAGCAGAGGAGTGGCGAGGAAAAAGGCTGGAGACAACACTTCTTTCCTTCCCTCCGAAGAAAACATTCCCTCATCACCAGCTCCTCTGCTGTCCCTGCAAAGCCCAGCGAGACTGCCCCCAATAGTTCCCCTTGCTTTTGGCTCTTGCCTGGGGGGCGTGGGGCCACAGGCAGAGCCCTTTGGCTTGGCCACAGGGAGGGAGTCCAGCTCCTGCATCTCAATCTGGACCCAGAGTTGGCAGGTCCAGTGCCTGCAACCTGTGTAGACTGCCTGCCATGCAGTGCTGTGAGGACCTGCGGGCTGCCAGCCTCATCTCTGTGATCCTGAGGGCCCTGTTCTCGGAGTACGGCTCTCGGCTCTCGGCTCTCCGCTCTCGAGAGGAGAGGAGAAAGGAGGAGGGGAGGGATACGCAGATAGAGAAGGGGGCGTCCAGTTCCTCCAGGCTGCTGCTCTGCAGCCCCCAGGGTCTGCTTGCAAACAGCAGACTGTACAGCTCCTCCCCAAGGGACTACATTGGCATTTTCGCGCCTTCTGTGCAGACTTAGTCTGTGACAGTCACCAACCTCCCCTCCCTACTGCTCCTAAGCTACCCTTTCTCAGCAGCAGCGTCTGCTTGCCGAAAAGAAAGCTCCAGCCTCCTGAATTTACAAACGCTTTACTGAGACTAGAGCAAGCTAACAGAAGCCTCGTGGCTTGTAGGTCCTGTGAGAAAGGAAAGCCCCCTCCCCTGCCTGGAGCGGCCCTGCAGGGGGCTCTGGAGGAGGGCCCGAGTCAAGAGGAGCCGCTGCTGCCTGCCAGGGAGATCCTCCAGCTGCCTGGGCATAGGCTCTGGGCTGCAGCTGTTGGAAGCATGGCTGGGATGGGCTGTGGCCAGGTCCTGTGTCGGCACAGAGCTTTCCTGCTCACAAAACCCAACTTCCCTTTGGAGACAGGTGGGGCATCCCTGTTTATGGGCTAAGAAACAGGGTTCAGAGAGGGAAGTGATTGGCCTGGGCCTTTGGTGGGCACAAAAGGAGATAAAATTAGGGAGCAGGTGCCCCCCCCCCCAGCCAAGGCAGTGCCCTTTCAGCATAAGCCTGTGACATTTGGACACTGACTCCCCCGGTTGAGAATGCCCTCCCCCGGCCTCCCTCTCTTTCCTAAACTGGGGAAGCCTGTGGGATGCGGGAAGAACCTGGATGGGGAAGGGAGGAGTCTAGATGTGGGGGCAGGAGGCACTCGAAGTCCACTGGGACCCCCCTAAGTGCTCCCTGCAGTCCAGGGACTCTCTTCTCTGTGGGACTTTGGCAGGAACCTGGGAGGCCCCTGCCCCAGGGCTGCCCAGCCCTGAGATCCTACGCCCCTCCTTGGCTCCTGGCTGAGAACTGAGCTCTTCCAGGTCTGCCTGCTGTTGGGATAATTTTGAAGGCTGAAGTCAGGGGCCTTGGAGGGAGAGAAGAGAGCAAGCCTGGTCAGGAAGACCTTGGTGATCACCACGCAGTGGACATTGGCACTTCAAGGCTTGGGCCCGTCAGCCACTCTCATTCTAGGTCAGGGGCCTTGGGCAAAGGACCTTCCATCACTGGAGGAGGAGTTAGCATTTAGAAAACTCCGGGCTGGAGTTGGTTTCTTGACTTGATGAAAGAGTCTATGAAAGAGAGTAGGGTCACAGGAATGCAAGGGCATGTTGCAGGCACACAGTGAGCACCCCAACTACTCTCTCCAGCCTGTCCCCAAAGCCATTCCCAGCAGCTGCTGCCCATCTGGGCGTTCTGCAGACAGCATTAGGGAAGGGACAACTTCCGACAGGGACAGGGAGTTTCCCACCTGCCTCTTCAAGGCAGCCCAGAGCAGCTCTGGTCTCTGCCCATCCCCGTGCCCATCCCGAGTGCCTTACTGGAGCACTGCCTTAGGGCTGGTGGGCCTGCCTTCATGCATCTATGGCTAGGATGGGAAATGTGTGCTCAGACCTGCCAGGGCCAGGTTAGAGGGCCAGGAGGCCAGGGCAAGATCACACCCCGCTGGAGCCCTGAGAGGAAGGGGAGGCCATGAACTGGGTGAGCACCCACTCCCTGCATCTAGGATATGTATGCAAATTAATATATGCAAACTAAGTATCCTAAACGACCCACCCAAAGAGTGGGACTCCTGGGACTCTACCCCAGGAGGTTAAACACCTTTAATCCCCTCCTACCCCTCCTTCCCTATCTTCCTGAGCCTCCCCCATCCAGACGAATGTGGGGTGCAGAGCTCTCCTCTCCAGCAGGGCTCTAAGCCTAGGCTGGGGGCAGTGGGGAGGAGGGGCGCCTGAGGAGCACCCCCTCTCCCTGGGAGCTCTGCAGAGGAAAAGGGTCTCTGGCAATCAGCATCCTCTACCTCCATCTCTCTGGAGGGTTACCCCTCAGAGCAGGTCTCCGCATGAGTCTGGAATAGGCGCTGAGTGCCTGGAGTGCTATTCTGTGAATGTGAGAGCACACTGGTGAGGCTGCCCACGCATGCCACTGTGGACAAAGACGGATGCTATGGTGTGTGTGTTGGCGACCGCGTATGTGTTTTTGTCAGTGTGTGATCGCGAGTCAGCTGGGTATGTGTGCTTGTGGGTATCAGGTGCGTGGCTGTGCGTACATGTGTGCGTAAGAGTCAGTGCGTTTGTGTTTCAGCGCCGCTAAGGCCCTGACTGCGATGCTGTGTGTGGGGGTGGATGTGACTGAATGCGTGCACCGGTGTCCGTCTGTTTACAAGTGTGCTTGTGTGTTTGGGTGTGCAGGTGGCTCTGCGTGCGCGTCTGTGTGCAGGGGGCCGGCACATGCGGGAGGATGCCTATGGTTGCGTAGCCGCGGGTCCGCTTGCCCCTCTGCACTCGTGACTAAGTATGTGCCGCCCCGGACGGTGTCTACACTGAATCTGGGCTACAGTGTGTTTGAGTTGCCGTGTGCGTTTGCGTTGCGGGGTGTGGGTTGCCACAGGGGCAACTGCATTCTTCTGCGTCTCCATGGCGAGGGGTACTGGGGGCGTCAGGCTTTTCCTGGGTGTTTTTCTGTGTGCGTGTGTGGTTATGTGCTTAGTTCACGTCTTCATAGTGCGCCTTTGTATTTTCCTGGGCATCTAACCATTGCACATGTCTCCGGGACGTCGGCAATAAGTGTTTTGGTGTTCCTGCGTCCTGACTTGTGTTCTCCGAGCGGGTCTGCGGCCCAGGTTCGATCCCTGCGACTTGTCCTAGGCAGGCCTGTGTGTGCGCGGCCGCGTGCTGTCCTGTTTTGGGGAACGTGTGCCAAACGCGCGCGGGGTACCTGTGCCCGTCTAGCCAAGAGTGCACCCGTGTGCGCGAGCGGGCTTCCGGGACGCCGCAGTGGTGGGGGGCGGCTCTGCGAGGGGAGGGGGTCACCCGGACTGGCCGGCGCCGGCCCCGTGCGCGCGGAGGCGGGGGCGGGGGGCGGGGGCCGCGGCGGGGGGGGGAGGAGGTACGAAAAGGGCGGCGCGCGCGGCGGCGGCGGCAGCTCCCCGGCAGCGGCGGTGGAGAGCGCAGCGCGCAGCCCGGTGCAGCCCTGGCTTTCCCCTCGCTGCGCGCCCGCGCCCCCTTCCGCGTCCGCAACCAGAAGCCCAGCGCGGCGCCAGGAGCCGGACCTGCACCCGCACCGTTCCCGGGACCGCGACCCCGACCGCCCCGCGATGACCGCGACCGAAGCCCTCCTGCGCGTCCTCTTGCTCCTGCTGGCTTTCGGCCACAGCACCCATGGTGAGCCCCCCCGGCGGCCCGGCTCGCGCCCCCTCTGGGGAAGCCTGCGATGCCCCGCCGACCGCCCGGTGCCCCGCACGCCCCGTCCCATGCGCCCCAACTCCGCCCATCCTGCTAGCCCTAAGCCCCGCGCTGTGCCTGTCTCGTCCTCCCTGCCACCCCCGCATGCCAAGCCCGACCTGGGGGGTCCCAGGCGGCAGGGGAAGTGTGAGACCCCCAGCCCCTTCCCGCCTGGCAGAAGTGGTGCCGGAGGGGTGTCGGTGCGCTGAGCAAGGAGGTATGGAAAAACGAGGTGCTGCTGTGGTGTCTTCTGTGAAAACGCTCTGGGGTGCAACTTTGGGGTGTCCCTGCGTGCGTGTTCGGGAACACGTCTCTGGGGGGACTGGGGGGTGACTTTGCCTTCTTAGCCCCCAGTTCCCAAGAGAAGTCCAGTCTGAGCCCTTCCTGCGTGGCGCGTTTCTCTAGGTGAGGGGCTGCGACACTTCTGTCTGCAGCGGCCATCTGTCTCTGACAGCGAGAGTTGCCCCCTTCCCGCAGCGCCCCCCCACTCATTGCACCAGTGGTTGTGTGTAGGGGGCTGTCTGGAAAGCTGGGGAGCCGGTTGAGTAAATGCACACAGTAGGTGCCTATTAAAGTGTTAGAATCTCTAAGCAGTGTGTTGCAACCTCAGCCGGCTAAGCAAATCCCTGTGGCGTCATCGTTTTCTTACTGCGAAGACTGTAGGGGAAAGGGGGAAGATTTGACCTGGGTGCCTGGCTTAATAGGGATGAACCTTAAAAAGAATCCATATGTCTTACTGGGGAGCCCACCCGGTGAACCTGTCTGGGCTTTCTCAGAGCTGAACACCTCAAAATCTGCTCCCCTTTTCGGCGCAGGTTGCAAAAGTGACGGTCAGACGGCATGGCCAGGGGTCAGTGTGTTTCCCTCCACTGTACCGGTCGTCCTCACTGTTAGGAGGACTTGAGGTTTCGTATGTGCTTTTGGGGGTGAGGAGAGAAAGGTGTTTCTCTGCTCCTGAGAACTAGGGAGTGTACTGTGGCCATCTCGTAGCTGGGAACGTGGCAGAGATGTTTTCCTGAGTGCATTGAGCCCCATCATGCTTGGATAGGCAGTGCCTACTGTGTGCCAGGATGGTAGGACCCAAGAGGACTGTTGTCGCCCTCGAGGGCAGCGGCAGGCTGTGTGGGAGAAGATAGGCTTTGCCTTGGTCTGGGGCCTGGAGGGTGAATTGTATAACCTTTCTTGCACCTCAGGGGCTGAATGTGTCCCGGCCTGCCACCCCCAAAACGGACTCTGCGAGGATGACAATGTTTGCAGGTAATAGAGTGGCTCCTCAGAGGCAGCGTGTGGGGGCCATGCAGAAGCCTGGGGAGTCGTGGAGTCAGGCAGAAAAAACAGGGGGCTTGGCCACTGCGCTGCAGCAAACAGCTCCCTGGCCCCTGCAGAAAACTGGTGGGGCGGGTGGGGAGGTGAAGGCAGGGAGTGGGGGCAGCTGCAGCTTCCCAGAGGTGGGGTGGCAGGTGAGACCACTGCAGGCCACTGCAGCAAAACGCAGCACTCCCCTGGAACCTCGGGGTCCCTCTGAGCTGGCCCCTTGGTATGGCGTGTTTTCTCTTTAACTTTTCCCATTCAGGGGGCTGGTGTTTACTTTCCAGGACCACCGGCTGGTACTGTGCAAAGACCCGCAAGGGCTCTTGGTTCCACAGAAAGTAGCCTGAGCTCCCTCTCTAACCCTGCTCCCCCTCATGTGTCCCCATCTTTCTCCCTTACCCTTGGCAGGTGCCAGCCTGGCTGGCAGGGTCCCCTGTGTGACCAATGCATGACCTCTCCTGGCTGCCTTCATGGACTCTGTGAGGAACCCTGGCAGTGCGTTTGCATCGACGGCTGGGACGGGAAACTCTGCGATATAGGTTGGCGCTTGCCTTTGTCCCTCCCAGCCCTACATCCTCACCTGCCTGCCCTGGCCCCAGCCACCTCCTTCCAGCCTCCTGTTGCTGGCTGCCCTCACTTCCTCATTCCTGCACACCTCATGCCCTGTATTCTAATGATCTGTTTATAAATTTCCTGTGGGTATCGAATGCCTCCTCAGAGATAGGGACTTTATTTTGCTCTCCTCTGCACCATCAGCACCCAGCACCCAGAGGAAACACGGGGTAGGGGCCAGGGAGCTTCCTGTTGAATAAAGAGTCACAAAATACACACTCAGCTGGGCCAGTAGGACCACAGACCCCAGGTCACCTGTCCATGTCGTGGAAGCCCAGAGATAGACAGGGCTCAGGGGATCTCGGAGCTAAGGCTCCCTAGAAAAGTACACGCAGGACTGTAAAAGGGCTGAAAACAAACAAATGGGGGGACAGGGGGAGCCAGCAGCGCTCAGTGGTTGGGGGGCAGGTGCTGCGTCATGGCCAGGAGAACAGGGCTGGGGGACCTGGACTGAGCGGGTCAGTTGTAGGAGTTGGCTGGGGTTGGGAAAGGCTGAGAAAGGGTTAAAGTGAAGATTGGTGTTATCTGTTGATTTCATTAATTTATGCAATCTTTGCCTCCATTACCCCAAGCAATTGAGAGTAGGCTGTCACTGCATTTTCAGGCTGCGAAATGTTCGTCTAAGCCCATTTTCATTTGGCAAACCTGCCCTAAAGTCCGGGCAAACTCAAGTCCTCAAAAGAAAAAAAAACTCCCAGCTGCATAGCAGCCTATCCTCAGGGCCTCTCTCCCATGGTCGCCAGCATTAGAGATGGTACAGGTAGGGAAACTGAGGATCAGGGAAGCACAAGTGTCTGCTAAGGGATAGGAAAGAAGTTGGGCCAAAAGCCAGCTACAACCCTTTCCCCTAGCCCCAGAGAGAGAGTTAATTTTTATCGATGACTGCATCTAACAGCCTTCCTTAAGGAACACCTAAGAGCATGTTGTGATGGCCTCTTCCCTTACAACCGGGATGGCCAGGGCAGCCGAGCTTCTGAAGCTAAGCTCCCTCCCACCCCAATCTGGTCCGTAATTCTAGCCCCTCCCAATATGGTGCACGGCTTCCCTGCAGCTGACTCATGATCTGGCTGGCGTCTCAGCTGCCCCTCACAGAAGCAGCAGCAGCCTGGAGTCGTTTGGGGATCCAGGGGAGCCGAGCAAAGCGACCATTTGGGATCAGGGTTAGGCTTGTAGCCTGGAGCCCATATTCTTTGGTATCGAAATGCAGGACACCCTTGCTGAAATATTTCAGACGAATGCCTCCCTTCCTGCGGGCCCTTGGTGTGTCCCCTCCCACCAGGTTGACAAAGGCAGCCAGCTTGCTTAGGGCGAGACAGTCGGGGTCCCAGCAAGGACGCAGCTCTCCCTGTCCCTTTTTGCCCACCTCAGGCTGTCGAGGCCACGGCTGTCCTGGCAGAGACCCCCAAGCAGTCTGCTCCTCGCAGTGCCTTAATTCACCCCTGTCTTGGGTTTGGAGGCTCAGGGGGGCTGCCCCAGATTGGCATAGCAGGGAGAGCTACAGGGATGAGCTAGGGGTGGTCGCCAGCTTTTTAGTTTAAATTTAAGATACCGAGTGACAGGAGAGCCAGGAGCAGAGAATTAGGAGCCTGACGCGGAGGTGCCTCGTGCTAATGCCTTGCCGGTGCCGTCCCGTACAGATAAATCCTCTTTATGTGTCCTTGCAGAAAGCCCGGCTTCCATGGAGCACCACAGGGTAGTCCATCAACACGGCGTTCAGGCTTTTCCTCCTTGATTGATTGCACTCTCCCCTCCACGAGGGTGCAGGTCTCTTTGAGAGAGGGAAACAAAAGTACGCACATGTGTGGCCTTAGCGCTGGGAACCCCCTACCATCAGCCTGCCTTAACTTGCTGTGTCTCTTGCTGGCCCTGGCTTTCTGTTTGGCAGGTACAGCAGCTCAAATGATAGAAAATCAAAGCTGAAGAGTCCCTCAAGATTGGCTGGGGAAAGACCCTCTTTTTATAAATAAGGAAACTGAGGCACATGATATGGGGAGGTGCTGAGCTCTGCTGCCACGTGGCAGCAGGCTGGATACAGGGCAGGACAGGGTCCCTCTTGGCCCCACTGGGGAGCTGGGGTTTCCACCGTCAGAGAGCCCCTGATGCAGGCTCTCGTGTTCCGCTCATCCCTGGCTTGCTGAACCTGAATTATGGAGTGTGCATGATGGAAGCTGTTAAAAGACAGTGGAAATATACCAGTGCTCATGGAAACCTGCGCTCATAGGAGAGCACTCAGTAGTTACAATTTTCTTGCCTTTAAAAGATGCAGCCTTTTTACCAGGGACCCCTTGAGTTCAGAGCCTGAGTGCAGAAAGAGAGTCCACAGGGAGGTGGACGCAGTGCTGGGGCTAAATCAGGCTTCTCGATTTCTGACCGAGGGAAGTCGTTACCTCTGCGTCCCCCGCCACTGCCCCTCTTTGATGGACAAGTATGAAGAGCTGGTGGTTTTCTGAGAGTTGGGCTGTATTTGTGGCCAGGACCTGTTCCCCCACAGGAGAAGCTGGACAAGCAGCCTTGTCTGGTAGACAGGCCTTAGGAAATCTCAGCTAAGCACAGGGTTGCAGGGAGGGGCACGAAGTCTACAGTGAACATCATGGACACGTTGATGGACATGGGGCGACCTGGTGCCAGGCAAAGGGTACAGCTGTCCATATCCGTGGCTTGAATATCAGTGGCCACGACTTTCTGATCTGTGACCTTAGGCAAGGAAACACCTTCAGCTTCCTGAGCCTCAGTTTACTCACTTCATGGGATTTTTTTTGAGGGTGGTCCCTCACTCTCTTACTCCAGACCCTACTTGGTGGCCATAGAGCCATTTTGAAGCCCACCGGGGTCCGTGCCACGCTTGTGTATGGAGAGGAAGCTGAGTTCTCGCACTCTTTGTCGCCCCGCAGATGTTCGGGCCTGCTCCTCCGCCCCCTGTGCCAACAACGGGACCTGCGTGAACCTGGACAACGGCCTCTACCAGTGCTCCTGTGCCCCTGGGTACTCGGGAAAGGACTGCCAGAAAAAGGACGGGCCCTGTGTGATCAATGGGTAAATATCCTTCCCGACTGTGTGATCTAACGAATCCTGCTTTTCACGCACCTGCTAGAGACTCTTTCAGCCTAACCCTGTTGGACCTGTCGCCTGACAGATGCAGTGAGCTCCTCCCGGATGCGGGTATTTGGGGAGGATGTGTCATTTCCATAATTTTTTCAAATGATCCTGAAGGCGATTTCTTATTCCCCTGATGTTCCCGAGTCCTGATGTGTGTGAATGACAGTCGATTGCAATGGTGAACTGACTCTCAGAGCTGCGTAATTTTCTAAAGGCAACATAATGAGAGATCAGAGTTCAGCGGGACTGAGGCTGTTTGTGAAACCCACTTGCTGTATCTCGGGGGTGGTTTTGGGGAACTGGTGGGCTCTGCAATTGGATTTTTCTGGTATATCTGTGGAAGGAGCTGCCGCGTTGAGAGGTGAGGAGATTGGGCTTCTTGAAGTGCGAGAGGGGGTGGGCCAGCTGCCAGCTATCCTCAGTGGGAAGGGCCTTCGGGACTCCTGCGCAGTGGACGTAACAGACGGAGTGGCCACTGTCCTCACTTGCAATCCCTGAGCAAGGCTTCCCGGCAGCTCAGCTACTGTCCATCTTTTATCTCTTTGGTGACCCTGAGCTGTCCCCGCTGCCCGTTGGATGGGGCTTAGCCTGAAGCCAAGGGAGGTCTTGACGGAGGCAGAGTCTGACATAAGAATCCAAACTTGAACCCAGTCCTGGGCCTATAGTTGGGGGGTAGGGGTGTCCCTTTCCCCTGAAGAAACTGAAGCTAACATGCAGATAAGGCGGTCTTGCCCTGACTTTGCAGGCCGATGCAGACCCAGCAGTGTGTAGGAGCTGTAAGCAGACATTCATGGGGCTCCAAGATCAGTCCAGACGGGGTCAAACTGGGGGCCGGTTTGCTAAGCACTGTCTGCTTATTAGCAAGGAGGAAAGCAGACTGAGACCTTTAAAATACTTTGCTTTTCTTGCTAACAGACTTAAACCAGTGTGTCAAAAGAGAGCCTAAGGTCCTTGAGGTTCCTTCAGCCCCCAGCTCCCGTGCAGCTGGCACCCTGAAGCGGCAGCGCTGGGTTCTTGTGTTTATAGCCCCTTCTTCCCCGGAGTTTTGGCATTTATCAGATGACAAAGGGCTTGCCCGTTTAAAAGCACTTACATTAAATGCTCCTTGTGCTCTGCTGTGAGCAAACAGCTTTGGTTTGCAAGCTGCACTTGGGTGAATGGACCACTATTAAACAGGCTGGCAGAGACACCGGCTCGTGCCAGCGTAGACAGACTCGTATTGCTTTCTCTTTGAGAGGCTCCAGGCGTGTCCTGCACAATAGCCTGCGGATCCACTCTGCTAATAATAATCATGATGACAATACTGAGGGTTGGCAGCCACAGTGGACGCAGGCAGAAAGGACGACAGCAGGTCCCAAGATAGAGTGAGGGGCACCCCTTGCTTGGTCCTTCTGCCCCAGCAGCCCAGGGATGGAGCTAAGAGAAGCAGGGTGTCACTGACTTTGCCTCTCCCAGCCTCAGTTTCCCAGCTGGCCAGTGACTAACCCACAGTCAGTCCTCTGGTGGGAGAAGTGCAGTAAGAGTTGGGAGAGGTCGTGGGCATCCTGGCATGGAAGGTCGGGGGTGTTCCAGGTTAGCAGCAAGATGGGGGTGAGGTGGGCACCCACCCATCCCCCACGTGTGCCTCCCTGGCTGGCATCCTCTCCCTCCCTCCCTCCCTCATGCGCCTCATCTGCTTTGAGCACCTGCCCCTTTGTCGGGCCGGGAACCTTCCGTCCCAGCACTCCCCGAAGCGCTGCCCTAGCGCAGCCCCCGAGGCCCTTGATGTGTGCCTCTTGTGTTCCAGCTCCCCCTGCCAGCACGGAGGCACCTGTGTGGACGATGAGGGCCGGGCCTCCCACGCCTCCTGCCTGTGCCCCCCTGGCTTCTCAGGCAATTTCTGTGAGATCGTGGCCAACAGCTGCACCCCCAACCCCTGCGAGAACGAGGGCGTCTGCACTGACATCGGGGGCGACTTCCGCTGCCGCTGCCCGGCCGGCTTCATCGACAAGACCTGCAGCCGCCCGGTGACCAACTGCGCCAGCGGCCCCTGCCAGAACGGGGCCACCTGCCTGCAGCACACCCAGGTGAGCTACGAGTGTCTGTGCAAGCCCGAGTTCACAGGCCCCACCTGTGTCAAGAAGCGCGCCCTGAGCCCTCAGCAGGTCACCCGTCTGCCCAGCGGCTACGGGCTGGCCTACCGCATGACCCCAGGGGTGCACGAGCTGCCCGTGCAGCAGCCTGAACACCGAGTCCTCAAGGTGTCCATGAAAGAGCTCAACAAGAGTACCCCTCTCCTCACCGAGGGCCAGGCCATCTGCTTCACCATCCTGGGCGTGCTCACCAGCCTGGTGGTGCTGGGCACCGTGGGCATCATCTTCCTCAACAAGTGTGAGACCTGGGTGTCCAATCTGCGCTACAACCACATGCTGCGGAAGAAGAAGAACCTGCTGCTGCAGTGCAGCAGCGGGGAGGACCTGGCGGTCAACATCATCTTCCCCGAGAAGATCGGCATGGCCACCTTCCGCAAGGAGGCTGGCGACGAGGAGATCTAAGCAGCGTCCCCACAGCCCCCCCTAGATTCCCGGGGTCCCGCAGAGCTCACTAGACGCGGTCTGTCCTATCTTTGTGGTGGAGTTCGCTAGCTCTCGTGTGGAATCTGGTGAACGCTACGCTTACATATATTGTCTTTGTGTTGCTGTGTGACAAGCGCAATGCTAAAAAAATCCCCTTTCTCTCTCTTAATGCATGATAAATAATAATAAGAATTTCATCTTTAAACAATTAAGAGAAATAAGTATGTTATTCTAAACTCTAAATGAAATATCAAAAAAGACCAAAAAAAAACAAGGCAACAGTACCAGGGCCCCGTGCCGACGCCCCTCCCTCGGGGGTCTCGGTCGCAGGGTCCTCGTGAAACCGTTACGAGTGCTGTGCATGACCACTCACTGTGCAAAGGGCTACGATCACTTTCGTTCGTTAATTCTCACACGCCACATCCGACTCGCACTCACTCCAGCGCAACATCGCTGCCCTTAGATCTTCCCGGTTGATTTGAGCTTAGCGGAGTGCAGCGGCTGTGTGTCAGGCAGAGAGAGCCCCGGGTTGGCCGCTGGGGGGCCGGGCCCCTGTCCCAGCCCTGCCACTAACTCGCTGTGTGATCCTTGGCGAGTCCTTATCCCAACCCTGGGCCCACCTTCTCACCCCTCTGGAGGGAGGGGTTTGAACACCCACCATCATGGCCTCTCTGGCTCTAAAACTCTGAATTAGGAACGAGGGGATATGGACCAAAACACTGCTTGACCCCAAAAATCAGGATCTGACGAAGACTAAGTCTCATCCTGGGATCCGAAAGGTTTTGGCCTATCCTGGATGAACACTTGATGTGGAAATTTATCCTAACTGCGTTTCTCAAATTGGGAAGCCTCCTGGCCCACTTCCCATTTGGGAAAAACTAGCCCCTTTGAGTCATTATGTGCCGTCTGGAGCTGCCACTGAGGCCTCCAGCCCTCGCCCACCCCTCCTTGTCTACCCAGAGCCCCAGCACTGTACCTGCCCTACCCTATAGAGATGTCCCTTGAGACTTGAATGCACCTTGAACCGTAAGTGCCCCTGGCAGAATCTGAGCAGCAACACAGCCCTCACCAAGGTTTTCACAGGGATTAGTGGAAATTTCGCTTGTGGGGCGCTTTTTAGTTCTGTGGCAAATGTGGTCGGAGACGTGGCCTACACAGCCATGGTTTACATCTGTGTTGCTGAGTTAATAACCCTCAGATCCCCAAAGACCTAGCCAGCTTCTGAATTTTGAATTTGACTTTTTTTAAATAAAGAGCATCTATTTTTTTTTTTTTTTTTTTTTGCAAAAATAGAAAGAATTGGGACAGAGCTCTGTTTAGCTTTTCAGCTTTTGGGGCTGGACAGCTAAACAGCCCTTGGGTACCAGATGGGAATGTTTTGCTTCTTAGGTGATTTAGAGAAGAGTCTAGACTCTCAGCTTTATGGGCATTGCCGGCCCTGCTTACCTTGCTCCAGGGGTTTATTTCTAAGCCATCTACAGTCACTCACATCAGTCACCTGCACACAATTTCACAGTCACCCACCCATCGGTCACCTGCGCCATCGTCATGACACAGTATGGACCTCATCATCTTCCAACCGCCATCTAAGCTCCTTCATCCAGACTCAGAGCCCGACGCCATCTGCCCAAGTTCAAACAGCCCCTACCCCTCACCAACCCATTGGTCTCTTCACCCCCGGTCCTTCCTCGTCCTTATCCCAAGCTTTGCCCACCCCCACCACCTCCCCGCAATAAGCTTCCCTCTGCAGAGCCTCTCCTACCACCCCTGTCCCCACCAGGCCCCTCCCCGCTGTCAGCCCCGACTCCTGCAGCACCCGTCCCAGCCTCACCCCTAAAACCCTGTCACCTCCCTGCCACCATTATCACTGCCAAGCACCTTCCCCTTCCCCTTCCCCTCCAGCTCCTGCTTCCATCCTGACCAATCCTCTCATCCCCCATCCTTCCCCTCCTGTTCCTCAACCCTCCTTTCCTATCACCTCACCCTTCCCATGCTGTCCCCCTCACCCTTCGCCTCTGATCCCTTCACTCTTCCCCTCTGATCCCCTCACAATTCCCCTCCAAACTCCCTACCCTTCCCCTCCAATCTCCCTACCCTTCCCCTCCTGTTCCCCAACTTTTCCCTCTGATCCCTCTATTCTTCCCCTCTGATCCCCCACATTTCCCCTTTGATCCCCCCACCTTTCCCTTCTGATCCCCTCACCCTTCCCCTCCTGTCCTCCCCACCCTTCCCCTTTGATTCCCCCACCCTTCCCCTCCCGTCCTCCTCACCTTTCCCCTCCCATCCCCCTACCCTTCCCCTCTGATCCCCCCACCCTTCCCCTTTGGTTCCCCCACCCTTCCCCTCCCGTCCTCCTCACCCTTCCCCTCCCATCCCCCTACCCTTCCCCTTTGATCCCCTCCACCCTTCCCCTCTGGTCTCCTCACCCTTCCCCTCCTGTCCTCCCTACCCTTCCCCTCTGATCCCCCCACCCTTCCCCTTTGATTCCCCCACCCTTCCCCTCCCGTCCCCCCACCCTTCCCCTTTGATCCCCCCCACCCTTCTCCTCTGGTCCCCTCACCCTTCCCCTCCTGTCCCCCACTCTCCCTTCCTATCACCTTGCCTTCCCCTCCCTTCCCTCTCCCCAAACCCCTGGGTCCTCCACCCCAATCTCACAGCTGCCCAAGTCCCTCTTCGTCCCCGACAAAGTCACCCAGTTCACCATCTCATCTCATTTTGAGTTTGTTTTAAGAAATAAAAAATTCAAAAAGACAAAAAAAAAGAATTGTTGGCATGTGTCAGGCAGGCGTCTGGTACCCTGCCTGGCCTCTCTCAGTGTGAGACCTGGACTGAGTCCGCTAACGATTCTGTTCCTCAGTTTCCCCAAATGCAAAATTCTAAGATTGGTGAGATGATCAAATTCTGTTTTTAATCTTGATGCTGTAGAGAACAGCCACATTCCCATGATAACAAGAAAAAGAGGTCCCACAGTTGAGGCATCCTTGACCAACTCCCATCCATTCATTCCTTCAACGTTGGAGACTCATCCGATCAGGAGGCATTTCCAGGCACCTGCCGAGTGCCAGGCAGTGTGCGGGACTGCAGGGCAGGCAGGACCAGGGGGCAATCTGGAGGGGAGCGGACACGCAGGCGTCCCCAGGGAGCCCAGCGCAGTGCTGGTCATGTGCCGTGGGAGCGGAGGGTCCTGAGCAGATGCCTCCCTTAGAGAGGGGCCACCATCTCACCTTCCCACGAAGCAAATTATCTATTACCAGCACGCGATGAGGCCGCCCCTCCCAAATTCCACAGCTCCCACCACACACGTCCCCCGTCAGAGGAGCAGTGTCAGCAGCCTCGCCACGGTCTTCACATCATGCAGAAATGGTCATTCCATGTTCTATGGGTCACCAGACTCTGCTGAGAGTGTTGGGATCTTTGACTGCCCGGCCACACCTCGTGTGTGTCCGGTGTAGCGTGTAGTTTACGAAACGAACGGAAAAGCTCAAAGACAGCTGTCAAAGACATGATCACCAATTCGGCCCCAAATTAGGAGAGGAGGATGAGGACATCAATTTCGTCACCAAAATGTTAAAAAACATGTCCTAGAGGCTCTTTTTAGCTTTCCCGTTTACTAACCAGTCCAGACATGCAAAAAAACCTTGTTTATTGAAAAATAAACAACAAGGGCTAGACTTGTGTCTGTGTCTTTGATCACACGTGTGCCGGGCGACACTGGTCCGGGGCCTCGGGCCCTGGGTGGGCGGCGCCGAATTCATACTTTCCGGGGCCCTGCTTTGGTCTAATACCCAGCCCCTCTCGTGTGGCCAGGAGGCTGCAGGGCTAAGGGGTGAGCCCACCCAGGCCTGTGCCCACCCCTTCTAGACCACATTCTTGGAACCTGGGAGTTTCCGGTCCAGAGGGTCCTGAGATGACCTCCAAGGCCCTCATGGGCCTTGCCCCTGTCTGTTTCCTGAGGTGGTTGTTTGTGGGTGGCCTGGATGGAGCTGGGACTTGACAGGTGCAGGGAGAGGGTCCATGCAGGAGCACAAAAGTGGCCTCGCTCTGAGGGCCAACTCCCGCCATGCACCAAGGTCCAGCCCCTGCCCTGCGTGTCCCTCCCGGCCCCTGCCCTGCATGTCCCTCCCAGCCCCAGCCCTTGCCACACATTAGTGCACTCAGCTCAGGAGTCCAGACCCAGAGTGCCAGAGCCAGAGCAGCCCACTGAAGCCAGGACAGAGAAGCTCAGGTCTTGTTCCTTGGCCCTGCTGACCTGGGAGGCAGTCCTCGGTTTGAGTCCCCTCTCCACCTTCCCAGGGCCCGCCTTCGTCTCTCAGACTCTCCCTGGCCAGGCTACTGCCACTCCCTCTGGCTCTACAACTCCAGGTCCTGGGCACTGGCGACACCCCCTCCTCCCCTGGCCACCACAGTGGTTCTGCTTTTCCCCATCTCCTTCCGCCCTCAGACCTTATAGATTGGGCTCAGGCCCACTCCGTCCTTCAGGGTCCCTCTGGCCTCCCCACCCAAGGTCCTCTCTGTCTCTAAAACTCTGAATTAGGAACCAGGGGGTATGACCCAAAACACTTCTGGCCCCCAAAATTAGGGCTGATGAAGACCAAGTCTCATCCTGGGATCTGAAAGGTTTAGCCTCTCCTGGACTGGCACTGGAGACTGAAATTCATCTTAACTGCATTTCTCACAGTGGGAAAGCTCCTGGACCACCTCCTGTTTCAGAAAAGTCAGCCCATTTGAGTCATGATATGCCATCTGAATGCCAGCCCTGTAGCCCTCGATCTCACCCACCCACCCTCACCCACCCAGGGCCCCTACTCCAAACCTGCCTCCTGCCCCCAGTGCAGCAGAGCACACAAGACAGATAGGCAGAGGTTTCCTCTCCCAGGTCCCAGCTGGGCTCCAGGGTCATCTAGAGCAGAACAATCCCCAGCGAACTCCATGTAGAGGAAGAGGCCTGAGCAGCACCCAGAGCAGGTGTGTGGAAGGTTCCTGAAGGAGAGCTGAGAAGGAGGGAGTGGGGAGGGGCCGTGGAAACCGGGGATAAGACGGTGAGGGGTTCGGTGGGCAGCCTATGTGGTCCGGACTGAGTCCAGACGTCCTGGAACCTCTAGGGAAATAACACGACCATGCTGAGGGCTCCGGAGTTAATCAATGCAGAAACATAGATGAAAGCGGGGCGTTTGCTAGGAAAAGATTAATCCTCCAAATTCCTCAATG